CAAGACAGTCTCAAACCCATCATATTCAAGATGTTGAAGTTCAATGATAATATAACATTAATGAATGCTGCCAGAAAAGCTGAAACACTTATGTACAAAGGCCACAGAATTTATCCTTGGCTTTTGATAATGCCTTGCATGACCTATTCATAAATAAACTAGGGAAATACAACCTAGATGGAACTACTATGAGGTGGGTGCATAACTGATTAGAAAATCATTCTCAGAGAGCAGATACCAGTGGTTCAGTCAAGCTGGAAGGGCATACTGGTCCTGGGTCTGGTTATGTTCAATATCTTCATAAGTGATTTAAATAATGACACAGAGAATACACTTAGTTTGCAGACAATACTAATCTGAGTTTCAAGTGCTTTAGAAGAAGAGATTGAACTTTCATTTTTATTTACCTCAGACCATTTCTCCAGTTTGTCCAGATCCTTTTGAATTTTAATGAAAACAAAACAAAGTACTCCACCTAGGAGTACAAAATGAACAATGCCTAGGAAAGAGGACTGGGAGTTATGTTGGATTACAAGCTAAATATGAATCAACAGTGTAACACAATTGCAAAAAAACCCTGATCATTCTGGGATATATCAAAATAAATCTTGTATGCAAGACACGAGAAGTAATTCTTCCAATATACTCTGCACTGATAAGGTTTCATCTGGAGTACTCTGTACAATTCTGGGTACCACATTTCAGGGAAGACCTAGACAAATTGGAGAAAGTTCAGAAAAGAGCAACAAAAATGATTAAAGGCTTAAGAACATAAGAATGGCCATACTGGATCAGACCAAAGGTCCATCCAGCCCAGTATCCTGTCTGCCAACAGTGGCCAATGCCAGGTGCCCTAGAGGGAGTGAACCAAACAGGAAATAATCAAGTGGTCTCTCTCCTGCCATCCATCTCCACCCTCTGACAAACAGAGGGTAGGACACCATTCCTTACCCATCCTGGCTAATAGCCATTAATGAACTTAACCTCCATGAATTTATCAAGTTCTCTTTTAAACCCTGTTATAGTCCTGGCCTTCACAACCTCCTCAGGCAAGGAGTTCTACAGGTTGGCTGTGTGAAGAAGAACTTCTTTCTATGTGTGTTAAACCTGCTGCCCATTAATTTCATTTGGTGGCCCCTGGTTCTTATATTATGGGAACAAGTAAATAACTTTTCCTTATTCACTTTCTCAACACCACTCATCATTTTATAAACATCTATCATATACCCCATTAGTCTCTTCTTTTCAAAGCTGAAAAGTCCTTATTTAGGTCTTGTTTTCTATCAGGAAAAACTAAAACAATAAATTTGTTTAGTTTTGATTAAAAAAAAAGACTAAGGGGTGACATAATAGTTTTCAAGTCTGTAAAAGATTACTTATAAGGAGGAAGGTGAAAAATTGTTCTCATTAACCTCAGAGGCTAGGAAAAGACGCAAAGGGCTTAAATTGCAACAAGGGAAGGTTAGGTTAGACATCAGGAAAAACTTCCTAACTGTTAGAGTGGTTAAGCACTGGAACAAATTGCCTCCTAGGTGTTGGAATTTGTTGCTGGAGGTTTTTAAGAACAGGTTAGACAAACACCTGCCAGAAATGGTCTAGTAGTTAATACATAGTTCTGCCTTGAGTGCAGGGGACTGAACTAGAAGACCTATTTTTCCAAATGTCTTCACTGAAATATTCCATAAAGGAACCATGTCTTAGGATATACGCATTTTCATTACTTTAATATTAAAAAGAATAAGGGTGGTTGCAACTGTGATGCCTTCCGTCTCATATTTCTATTGATCACAGATGGCAAAATCAATATAAAAAAGTTAGCTACACAAGTGAACACATCACCCCATTAAATATACACACAGATCAGGCTGTTTTCATTAAAGGAAGAATGGCTGCTAAGAAAACAAGGATGGTCTAGTAGTTAATACATAGTTCTGCTAAGAAAACAAGGGAAAAAAATCACTCACTTGATCCAGCAAGCTCAGATGTCAGATTTGCCCTCCACTGCATTATCTCTAGGTGCAGAGAATTGATAGGGTTGAATGATCTTATCTAATGGCTATCCTAAACAAATTTGGATTTTGATCTGTATTCCCAAATTGGGTCCATTATAGTGTACAACTCTCCCCTTGCTTCATGATCAACTAATGGAATTATACTGCTTACTTTTGCCCCTGTCTTTTAATGTCTCGCTCGAATCACTGGTAATATTGTATACAGTATTCCTCATCACTCCATCACTGAAAGTCTGGCTATAATCAGGAAAGCAAACTAAATCAGTTTATATGTTAATGACATTTTTGTACCATTGAAGAATCCATCTTCTATCCCATCATTACTGCCTGTAGTTGATGATTTTGGAAAGATCTCTGGGTTTTGCATTGACTGGACTAAATCAGAGATAAATATATCCAAAAGACCAGATTCTTCTCAGTTTCAACATTTTGCACTTTGAATGTGCAAGGAAATAACTTATTCATGTATTAAAATCCCAAATCTTCCCAACATTGTGTTTATTATAAGAAATTTCCAGGGACATAGAAAAGTGGTGTCTCCTCCCTCTATCCTTATATCTAGGAGAACAGAAAAAGCTAAAATAAGTATCTGTCCAAAAATGAGGTTTAACTTTATAGTGAATTGCCTTTCAAGATCTTTCCTTCGCTCTTTGCTCAAATGTAGGCTTATCATGCAACTTCTCTCTCTCTCTCTCTCTCTCTCTCTCTAAATTAATTAAAAAAAAGTTTTTCCTATGACACAATAACTTCATCAGGCTCTCTAGCCACTAAAGCAGTCAGAGAGAGGGGGTCTGGTGAGTGTAACAAGCAGGGAGTTTTCACAGCCAGAGAGCAGGGGGTTGGTGAGCATAGTGAGCAGGGGGCAGCCCCCTAATATGGAATTAAAAAAAAAGCCTCACTTGTCACATAAGATCCTTCTTATACCACTACAGATAACCCATGCCTCAGGATTAAGGCCTACTTCATGCCTAAGATAATTTAGATAGAAAAAGGAAATTAGACCAGGAGATACAAAAAGGTTAATGATAGGAAGGGGATGTGCTAGCAGTCAGGATTAGGAAAAATGTCACTATCATGGTGTTGAAGATTTATGGGCACATGCATGGGAACTGAAGAGATGGGATGATGGAAAGAAAGAAGGGGTGAGGTGTGGGGCAAACAGCAACGAGAAAGGACAAATCACCTGATTAAAAGGATGAGAAGTTCTGCATTGATACCACCAGTGAAACAAAGATGTAGCGAACTCAAGGTTAACATCCCTGGACTGGTAAAGGTTAGGGCTGAATCTATGCATTGCAGCAGTTGGCTGCAGTCCCAATTTGCTTTATTCATATGCAGCTGCTGTTTTTCTGAATTTGGGGTGAAAAACTGAGAGACTTATAAATAATTTGCAATCTAAGAGGCTCTTGCACTACTTAAAGTAGTATAGTCTTTTTTATTTGAGGATTTAAAATGGTCTAACAGATATTGAAAAGTCCTTCATTATGAGAATTTTGAATTTGTATTAGGAAAGTAACTAGTTTGCATGTAATGACAAATATTCTTTTCTTGTTTAGGATATGCTCTGAGGTGTTACACTTGTGCAAATAGTCCTTCGCTGTGTTCAACCAATGCTACCTGCACCCATGGAGATGATACTTGCTTACAGATCAAGCTTCGTATGTATCCTGTCCCACAGGGGAAAAAAATACAGTAACATTAACTCATTCAAAGTCTGTGCATTTGCAGTCTGGAAGTGTCTGATTTGTTAATTCAGGTCAGGATGAAAGACTATTTTAATAACTTGATGATAATAACCAGGGCTCGACAAATTATGGAAAACCCTACTTGCCAGACAAAAAAGGGACTCGCCACCCTCCCCCCAACCCCACCCCCCAAAAAGTGTTTTTTTTTAATGGCATAAATTCCTAATAAGAATAAGAACAGTAATTACTAGTACGTTCTTAATAAATATCACCCAAGTTATTAATAAATAAACTTCTACCTTTTCCCTCTGTTGCCATGTTTCCTCTCTTTGCTCCATCAGCTCCCCTGGTGGCTGCTGCCCCCCAACCCCTCACCCTTCTCTGCTGTCCTGACTCCTGCCCTTCTCGCTGCCCTCAGCCTTCCTGAGACCTGCCCCCCTCCACCAGCCCTGCTCTCCCCCCTGTGCCCACTCCTCCAGTAGCCCCACTCTGATCAAATGAGCTACCCCTCCTCATCCCCTCTCCTAACACCTCCCTCTACACACCTTCCCTGCCTCTCTCCTCTGATGCTGGTCCTTCCCCTGCAGGTGTCTGCCCTTCTGCTTCACCAGCAGAATCTCCTGGCACCTGCACCCTCCTGGTTCCTCCCCCTTCCCTCACTGCCCCCGCCCCCTTTGCCCTCTTTTTCCCTGATACCTACCCCCTCAACACCCTCTGCCCCCATTCCCCTCATGCCCCTGTGCCCTCACACATGCCTTGCTTCGTCCCCGCCTTCCTCATGCCCACCCCTTCTTTCAAGCCTTCTCCCAGCACCTCCCCCTCTTCCCTCTAGCCCCCAGTGACCGTACCCTCTCCTCTCCCAGCATCAGCCTGTTCCCCCCTCCCACTGACACCTCCCCTTCTGCCCGTTTCCTCATTGTCTGCACTTGGCCCCCTGGGATTTGTCTCTCCTGCACCCCTGTTCCTTGGTGCCTTCCCCTTTCTTCTTCTTCTCCTGACCTCCTCTCCCCTCCCCTCCCCTCAGCACAAGCCCCTTTCCCCATATTTTTCCCCTCCTCTCCCCACACCCCAGCCCAGCCACTTCCCCTCCCTCAGGGCCAAGCAAAACATTCCCCCCCCTTTTTGTTGTCTTTTACACGTTTGCATTTTGCAATGCTTTTTGTTTGTTTGTTTTCATTTTTGTCCCAGCATTTTAGCCCTATAAATAGCAAATAGCATTTTCATTCATTTTTTTCCCATAAAGGCAAAGGCGCTTCAAGTGAACTCCCCCTTTCACTTGCTGTGGGTCACAGCAGCCTTTTCCCTGCCCTGTCCAGCTCCTCCCTGTGGACAAGCACCCCTCACTCTCAACGCACAGGGGAAACAGGATGCAGGGACAGCACAGAGCCAGAGGGGTGCAGGGAACAGTGTGTGTGTGGGGGAAATGGGACAGGGGTGGCGCGGGGAACAGGAGGCATGGAGGCAGAGGGACACAGGGATCGGAGGGAGCAGTGTGCGGGGTGCAGTGGAGGCCCGGGGAATGGGACACAGGGAACGGGAGGGGCAGAGGGATCGGGGTCTAGGGGCAGTGCAGGGAATGGGCAGCACAGAGCTGGGGGGGGGGAGCAGGGATTGGGGGGAGCAGAGTGCGGGGGGCAAGGGTGGCGCAGAACCAGAGGGAGAGCAGGGGATCTGGGGTGCAGGGGCAGCGTGGGGAATGGGTGGCAGGAGCCAGATGGGGCACGGGGCGGGCGCAGTGAGCCGGGCGGTCGGCTGGGAGCGGTCTCTCGCTGGCGAGGGGTTGGGGCTGGGGCCGTAGCAGGACTGGAGTTGGCAAGGCGGGGCCTGGCTCCCCCGCGTGCTGCAGCCAGCTTGCAGGGTCATGCAGCCAGAGCCGAGTTGCTGCAGCCCTTTAAAATTGGCCAGGCCGGACCACATCACACCAGCGTCCTGGCGTCTGCCGATGCCCCGCCTCCTCGCGCCACAGCTGCACGCAGGCAGCCCAGTGCTGACAATGGCCGCAGTTTCCCCTCCCCAGCCCCCACCCAGCTGGCAGATCAGATGGGGCCACGCCACCCGTAGTGCAGGCTTCGGCCAGCCCATCACAACTGCCCACTGGGCCAGTCCGCCCCTGCACTCGCCAGCTGGCAAAATCTACTCACCACGGGCGAGCGGGCGAGTGCATTTGTCAAGCCCTGATAATAACCATCAGTACACTTTGGTGTTTTGAGCACCTGATGAAGCTAGACAGCAGTATTGTACATCAGATACACACATTTGTCTTATATCCAGGTAAATAAAACAAATTGAAGTTGTTCAAGTGAATGAATTAACAGCAAGGTTGCATAAAACTCTAGTGAATAAAGTGTACTTCACATAATTTCTTCTCATCATAAATACAGCTTATATTAAAATAAACTTATGGTCAAAAATTTAGAACTGAAGCATTTTTCAAAAAAATTAACAATTTTTTTGACACCAGAATGTCATATCTACTTATGTCTTTCCAAAATTGTCATGGGCACCTAGAATATTGGGTACACGCTTTTCACTGAAGAATAGCAAAATGCCAAATATATATAATCTAGCTGTAGAAGTTAGACCCGAAAACATGAATCTGCCTGAGGAACAAGGTTGGGTTTTTTAACACATGTTTAATATTCAATGTAGATAACACGAACATTTCACTTTTTCTGAGAAACAGCAAGGAATGAGGAATTGTAGGAAACCATATAGGAAGAATGTCTGTTTTCTGGCCTTAATCATATTTTTCCATTATATGATTTATACTTTCTAGTAGTCAGAGAAATGCTAAGAGAATGCTAGGAAAGCATAAATGGTTAAGCTCTTATAAATGATAGTCCTTCAGAAAAGAGAGGATTGTTAAGGGATAGAATGTTCTTCCTGATAAAGAAGCTAAGAACCGAAGCAGCTGGTCAAACTGCACAGAACTACATACTCAGTAAGGCCTGCGTTAAAGGGCAAGGCTAGTTCAATATATGCAACTCTACTAATTATGTAGCTGAAGTCGACATAACTTGATTCGAGTTTCCCCACTGCTCCCACAGTGGAAGGCCAACAGGAGCAAACACTCCCATTGGCTTCCCTTATTCCTCACAGGAGCAGGAGTATCGGTTAGCTGCTGAAGGGGGTGCCCTCAGTTTGATTTAGCAGGTCTTAACTAGACAGGCTAAATTGAACTCCGGAAGATCGATCACAGCAGCATTAATCTTCCATTTAGTGAAGACATGGTCTAAGTGTGCTATCAATGTGGACTTCATTGGAGCAAGTTAGTCTACAATTATTTCTTTAAGCATAAACTAAAAGAAGCCAGTGACTACAAGGTGGTTTTTTTTGGTTTTTTTTGGATCTGGTTTTACTCCACATCTAACTTTTTAAAGGTTACAGACTCTTGCGTAAACAACAGCCTTCTTAGTCAGAGATCCCATAGTGCTCAAACCAAACCAAATGGTGGCTTTGCCTCTTATGTTTTGTATGTTAGAATTCTTACAAGACTGGCTGGGATATCATGTGGTAAGCTGTAAATGGAGCCTTTAACTAAGTGTGACTTTCTCATGTAGACAAGCCCCATCTTAACTGTATTTGAAATTTGAAATTGAATCAATTAAAGCAATGCAAAAGGCTATGTAGAAAATCTTGTATATTTTTAGAAAACTAAAATTGAAATAAGCCATACACGAGTTTCCATGTATTCTTTAACATCAGCTGAACATTTTGCCTTTGTGAATTAGGTACTATTTACATGAGGAAGTTGCACTAACTTCTTTTGTAAAAACAAAGACTGCCAGACTGAAATATGTTTCTACTATCCTTAGATTCCACCACACACACTCCCTCTTCCCTGCCCCCATTTCATTCTTTTTCTCCAAAACAGGAATGGTGTCTTGTGATAATGGGAACTCTTTAAATGCCTCTTGGTTCCATCATTGCCAAAAAATATTAAAGCTGCATTGCCGTGAATTCATGAGCATGAAGGAAACTTCACTGGTACACCCTGAAAGAGACAGTATTAGTATTTTTCATTAACCTGTTGAAGCTGTGATGAGAACTAACCACGAACTGGGCACTATCCAGCAATGAATAGTTTATCCCAGATTTCCCTTTAAAAGAACACTTCAGCTACTAATCCAGTCACTACGTGCAGCTTATGAGTTTTGCTAACACAACATAACTGCATCCCCACTGCATTATTAGCTTGAGGGACAGCAGCGCTTGAGTTTGAATGCAGAGCCCTGATAACCATCTAGCTCAAGTTTTCACTATTTCACTCACTATTTCAGCTAAGCTAGAGATTTGCATGTAGACATTAAGTTAGAGGGAATACTAGAGTCATATCTCAAGCTATGGACAGCTGGTATGCTAAGCAAGGGAAGGCATTGCCTTCGCAAACTGCTAGCCTGGCCCTGCCTACACTCCACCCCCAGAATGCCTACTGTAGGTGTTCTGGGGATGGAGCATTGCTTCCCTCAGGGACCCTGGCTCTGGAGCACTCAGAGGGTGGAGGCTGGAGCCACTCGCTGCCCTCCCTCCCTGTGCTCAGGGGCCAGGGAGGCTGGGGTGAGTGTGTGTGCACCCACCCACACTCTCCTCCTCCTCATGGTGGTGCGGGGGCACGCATACGGTATGCTGGCTGACATCCTCATGGTGGGAAGGAGGCTTGGGTCCGGGGGGGAGGGCCTCAGTGGAAGGGGCAGGACTGCAGGTGGGGTTGGGGCTGGGGGGTTGCCTCCCCCAGCCCTCCCTTCACTGATTGCTCATGTCTCAAGCTACTACTGAGCTGAAGATACGCCCATTGTCACCTCACATGTTGTGCTCCCATCCGCATATTTATAGTGCATGCTCAGAGAAGAGCAAAGGAACATGTTGAAAGGAGCTTGAACAACAAGAATTGGGTATGTTTAGACTAGAGCAGTCTTTCTTCTTTCTGTAGAGAAGCAAACATTCCAGTATGAAAATTAGGTAGGTTCAGAAGTTAAAATAGGAAAATAATTAAGGAATCCATCTGGAAGATAAGGTGATAAGTAACAGTCGGCATGGATTTGTAAAGAACAAATCATATCAGACCAGCCTGACAGCTTTCCCTGTTAGGATAACAAGCCTTGTGGATAAGGGGAAACCAGTAGATCTGGTATACTTAGACTATGGCAAAATATTTGATATAGTCTTGCATGACTTTCTCATTAATAAACTAGGGAAATACAATCTGGATGGGGCTATCGTAAGGTGGGTGCATAATTGGTTGGGTAACTGTTCTCTGAGAGTAGTTATGATTTGCAGTCATGCTGGAATGCCATAACAAGTAGGGTTCCATAGGAATCAGTTTTGGGACCAGTTCTGTTTAATATCTTCATCAATGATGTAGATAATGTCAGAGAGAGAATACTAATAAAGTTTGTGGATGATACCAATCTGGGAGGGCTAACAAGTGCTTAGGGTGATAGAATTATAATTCAGGATGATCTGGACAAACTGGAGAAATCATCTGAGGTAAATAGGAGGAAAGTCAATAAGGACAAATGCAAAGTACTCTACTTAGGAAGAAATAATCAGTTTTACACATACAAAAGGGAAATGAGTACTGCAGAAAAGGATCTAGGGGTCATAGTGGATGACAAGTTAAACATGAGTCAACAGTGTGATACTGCTGCAAAAAAAGCAAACTAGATTCTGGGATGCATTAACAAGAGTGTTGTGAGCAAAACATGAGAAGTAATTCTTTCACTCTGCTCTGTGTTGATTAGGCCTCAGCTGGAGTATTGTGTCCAATTCTGGATACCACATTTCAGGAAATAGATGGACAAATTGGAGAAGGTCCAGAGAAGAGCAACAAAAACATGATTTAAGGTCCAGAAAACATAATCTGTGAGGGAAGATTAAAATAACTGGGTTTGTTTAGTGTGGAAAAGAGAAGATCGAGAGGGGATACAGGAGCTTTCAAGTACTAAAATGTTGTTACACGAAGGAAGGAGAAAAATTATTCTCCTTCATTCTTGATGATAGGACAAGAAGCAATGGGCTTAAATTGCAGCAAAGGAGGTTTAGATTAGACCAGTGTTTCTTAACCAGTGGTAGGAGTACCCTCAAGGGTACTCGAGAGAAGTCTGGGAGGGGGTATGTCAACACAACTGAAATTTGGAGAAAACTGAATTTTTGTTTTAAGTTTTACAGTGCTTTATTATTTCTGTACTTTTTACACCCAAAAATTTCATCGCCCGTCCGACTATGATTAAGTTGTTTAAACAAATGTGTTGCAATGGTAGAAAAAAATTTTGTGTCTGAAAACTTCAGGAACTGGGAGTACTTATACTGTTTTTCAAAGGGGGTACTTTATAAAAAAAAAAAAAGATTGGTGGGAGTACTTATACTGTTTTTCAAAGGGGGTACTTTATTTAAAAAAAAGGTTGGACATTTGGAAAAACCAGGTGGTTAAGTACTGGAATAAATTGGCTAGGGAGATCTTAATCTTCAATGATGGAGATTTTACAAACAGGTTAGACAAACATCTGTCAGGAACAGACTAGATAGTGCTTGGTCTGGCCATGATAGCAGGGGACTTGACTTGATGACCTTTCAAGGTTCCTTCCAATTTTATGATTAATATCCTGCTTCTGATTTTTTCTATTTTTTACTTTTTTTGGAAAGATAATTTGAAAACCTATACCTGCTGGAAACACGCCCGATGCAACATGAATGAGATTGCTGATGATTTTGGTGTTGACAACTTTCATTTCTTCTGCTGCCAAAAGGACTTTTGCAACAAGGGTCCAGCCACAGTGGTTAGTAAAACAGCCTTCAGCATTGTGACTGTGATGACCATGATCTGGATACTCTTTTAATCTCGAAACAAAAAGAAATATTTTTCTGTTTGTATTGCTAAATATTTTCCTAGATCTCTACCAATAGTGTGGTGAAGTATTTTGTCCTCTGATTTATAAATCATGATTCACAAAATGTTCTCTATTGGATAAATTACTATCCAGAGCTCTCTGGAAAGAGAGGCATATTGTGTATCAGTCAGAAAGAACATTTTGTGTTGCCTCAGTTGGAGGAAAATGTCATCTTTTAGAAAAATCTGTATATAAGGGGGAGGAATGGGAAAATACATATTAATTGCTAAAAATTGTAATTTCTCAACGCTCTATGAATTTGCAGTTATGTTTTTCTCTCTTGTTCAATATGTTTTATTAGCCTTCAGTGAATCCATATTATCCAGTGAATTCTCCTGCTGTTTCAAAATACAATTTATGATCTTATTAACATAGCTGAAATCCTAGTTCTTGTTGAAATATGATTAGCTGTGATTGGAAATAAATTATGTAGCCACTGAAATTGCATTATTTTGGGGAAAATATTTTGAGTGTGTTACAACTGAAAATTAAATTGAGGTGCATTTGAAGTACATGAGGAATGCCTTGCCTCTCTGTAGAGTTCTATGAACATGTAGGTACATGTATGTGCTGCTTCAACATCTTGTGTAAATTTTATCTTTTGCTCATGGTGGCTTTCACAACAAAAATTTAAGCTGAACAGCTTCTTTGCACAGCAGTCAACTTTGTATATTCAGAGTTGTGTGAAATCTTTTGGCTTCAACCTGATATTTTTGTCTGAAAAACAGTTAAGAGTTTAAAAGCAGAATTTTCAGTTTGGATATGCTTTATATATTTTCTGCTTGAAAACAGATTCAGCAAATGCAACTAACTCTTCCAGCTTCTAAATGTGGATGTTCCAGAAAGACTTGTAGAACTTTTGTGCAACATTTATAACTGCCAATATTTTATTATTGCTGCTAATAAACATGTATTGAATGAAAAATGCGCATTCTATATATAGAAAGATAGCTTTTGACACAGCCTTCATCTTGCTGCCAGTTGTACTGTCTTACTAAGTGATGGGCATAGGTGTAGGTGCTTTTACTATATTTGGTGGCCCTGCTTTTAATTTGTACTCTGTAATATCAAATCTTCTTCTGCTTCCTTAGGGGTATACTACCTACTTGCTGCAGGGAAGGGGGTCAGTTACCAAAGATATTTTTATTTCTGAGATGCATGGTCTGTGGTAACCAGAGTCTCCTATGATGATTGGTCTTGTACACTGCTGCTTTGCTGCCATAGCTAGGGCCAGATGAAGATACCGTATCATTCTATATAGAACATATGACTGTTTGATTTTAGTTTCATTTGGCCAAAATGATTCAAGCTATTATGATAGTCTGGTATTTATCTGATCACTCTGAACATGAGTGGTGACCGTGGTTTTTCATTAATAAAAAAGGACAAAAATAAACAAAACTGCGAGTTAAGTATGGTTATTTACCAGAATGCTTGTTATAGTTCAAAATAATCTTATGGTAAGAAATGAGAAACCTAGTCTTACATCACAAGGAAGTAGAGACTACATTCAATCAATCCAATCAATCAATGTGTCCAGAGCTGTTAGGTGGGCCAGGAAGGGCTATTTCATTAGGAAATGGTGAGGGTTTCTAATCTAACTTCAGGTTTCAAACTACCTCTTTTTTGTAGGGGTAAACTAACAATACAATATACAATAGACGAGAGAACAATCCTACCCTGCAAGGGACAGTAGGCTAGATGATTCATAGGTGTTTTTCATCCCTACATTACATGAATCATTGGCTTTCTAAACCAAATCCTCCCTCTGTTCTTTTTAGTTCATAATTTAATCTTTTTCTTTCATGCTGAATATACTGGTTTCAATTCATAACTGATTCAGGTAACAACATTTTTGTTAATTGCTGTTACTATTTTAGTTATCAGCCATTTCATTTAGGTCCCAGTTAGCAACACAATGTACATATTGGACTTCAAACGAAATCTATATGGAATATATACAAAAGGCCAGAAGCAAGCCTCTAATTATCTTGCTTCTCTTGGAACAAACCTGCTTTCCTTTCTTTTTAGAGCTATTTTCTGCTTCTGCATAATTTTTTCCTTTCCAAGGAAAAAGACTTAGCTACATTTCCATTTGCAAACTCATGGCATCATCAGCCTGTGTTCCAAGGCCCTACTCTCACTTGTTTTTTAGTACCTTCCTGCTTCCAAACAGAAAGCAATTCCATGACATTCTTTTTAAATAAACAATTTTCCTCGCCCTTAATAAACACAGAGTCAAGAGCAGAAACAGTCCATTGTATGTTCCCAGCGAAGCCAAATGAAAGGGATTCTAGTTCAAATCCTATGATGCCAGACCTATGGAAAAATGTTCTTGTCACCTCACACAGTAGGAATTCCACCTTCTGCCAGGTGAGGCACAACTCCTCATTTCCAAGAGGAAGAAGTTTTACTTGCCTAGTATAGTAAAGGAGGAAAAAATACTTTTTTAAAACAATTTTTTGGCTGAACACAGAGAAATCAGGCTTGAAGGTAGGAAATGACACCTGAGCCTCATTAGCAAAGCAGGTCTTTAAAATGCAATAGTTTGGGCTACAGAAGGAACCCTACATTCCAGGGAGGAGTGAAATCTGCCTGGGCTGAGAGCCTTTATCTATTGGACTCTGGCCTGAAGTATTCAGAAGCTTAGATATGCTGTATGCAGTCTGTTTTGGGTTAACACATGCAATCTCCTTGGTATCCAGGCTGTCTATGTAAATAATCACTCTAGTAAGCCCTGCAATGTAATACCACTCCATATTTATATCTTTGTGTGTCTGTGAATTGGCTGAACCTGGTGACCATAAGGTGGATCCCACGAGCTCCATCAGAGAAAGCTTTTGCTGGGCGATAGCCATTTTGTATTGCCTCACAACATAGGCTGGGATTCATTTTACATTTAAAAGTGCATCACACAGAAATCTGATAAAGCTACACATAGGCTGGGATTCATTTTACATTTAAAAGTGTATCACACAGAAATTTGATAAAGCTACATAGGTCAAATGGGGCAGTATAGAGTCTATCTCGCCCTGGACATTTATAGACTCTATACTGCCCCATTTGACCTATCTTGCCCTGGACATACATAACAATGGCCATACCGCCTCAGACCAGTGGTTAGTTTTCTGTCTTCTGATAGCAGCTGATGCCAGGTGCTTCACAGGGAATGAACAGAACTGGTAATCATCAAGCAATCTATCCCTATCACTGATTTCCAGCTTCTTGAAAACAGAGGCTAGGGACATTCCAGAGTATGTTTTACACCCATCCTAATAACTACGGATGGACCTATCCTCCAGGAACTAGTCTAGTTCTCTTTTTTTAACTCTTCACAACATCCTCCAACAGAGTTCCACAGGTTAAATGTGAAGAAATATTTCCTTTTGCATGGTTTAAACCTGCTATTTATTAATTTCATTTGGTGACTCCTAGTTCTTGTGTTCTGAGGTGCAAATAACACTTCCTTATTTACTTTCTCCACACCAACTGTGATTTTATAACTCTAGCATATCCTCCTTAGTTAAACTGGGGCATACACCTCCTAGAGAGTTGTGGAGGAATGTTTGGTGAGCTATGGGCAGCTCATGCCAGGCCCATGCAGTAGGCCCAAGTCAGGTGGCACAGAGAGTCAAGAAGGAGGGAGCGCCACTCCATGACTTAACTCAGCATGCCATCCAGCCCAGTGGGTCAGTGTCAACATGTGTCATGACCACACCAATTTCCACTCCCAACAGCTTCTGTACCCAGTACTGACTCCACTCTCAGAGACTTTAAAACCCAATGAAGGTCAGGTAAGTATTGGCCCTGCCCTAGCATTGCAGTCTGCAGCATAGAAATAGTTCCACTGCTGAGAAAACCTTGCTTGTGCCATTGGTAAGTACTGTGCATTTTAAACTTACAGCTGTGGGTAATTTAATTAAAGCCATGTTAAGCATTCAGTTAGGTTTATGAGTAGGTCAACAAACATACCTTTGCATGCTAAGAAAATCATAGGAGCATTGCTACAATCCACTGAGCCAAGTTAGGTGCTGAGACTCTCTATACAAAGAATGGGAAGAGTAAGGTGTGTTATAATGCAATCCAGAAGAGACAATACACAAGGCAGGGAGTTACCTAAGCTAGCCAAGAGGAGATGCAGGCAGGTGGATGAGAGAGAAGCCCTGACCCACTTTTGGAGGCAGGTGCCTAGCTCTGTTTAGTGATCCACAAATGGCAACCTGCTGTCTGGAGTCAGATAGCTTAGGTGCCTAAGATGATTCTTGTGGGAATGCGTTAGATGCATGCCTTACTCCACACAAAACAGACAGGGGAGGGAGGTAGAGTGCTTGGCTAGGAGGTGGGAGATTCAGGCTAAAGGAAATCTCTATGGTTCAGTGTCTGTTGCATTGTGTATAAATACTTACTTAGACATTGGGCCAGAGAGAGACATTCTGCAGTTTGGTGGTGGGACATTCACATGGAAGGTAGGAAGCACCCTGAATCCAGTTCCTCTGCTCCAATCATTCTTTCATTATTTATCCACAGTGGAATAGCCTGAACCTGAGAGACTACAAAGAGCCCCACATCAGAAAATCCTATAGCTCAGGGATTAAAGCATTCTTCTCAGACTCCTTTCAGTTCCTGTCTGGCAAAGAGGCATGAATTGAACCTAAGTCTCCCACACTTTAGCAGAGTGCACCAACCAATGAGCCAAAAGGGTCTCTTCCCAAAACTTAGGCCCCTAGGAGGCATGGTGTCAGTTTTGTGGCTCACAGTGGAGCCATAACAGGATTTACACACCTTTGTTGATCTTGGCCTAAGAGCCTTGTCCAAGATTGCTCAGGAAGTCTTTGACAGAGCTTACAGTTTAAGCAGGGTCTCCTGAGTCTGTTAACCTTTCCCTTCATCTTTCTCAGGTATTATAGCCTGAACCTGAGAGACTAGAAAGAGCCCCACATCAGAAAATCCTATAGCTCAGGGATTAAAGCATTCTTCTCAGACTCCTTTCAGTTCCTGTCTGGCAAAGAGGCATGAATTGAACCTAAGTCTCCCACACTTTAGCAGAGTGCACCAACCAATGAGCCAAAAGGGTCTCTTCCCAAAACTTAGGCCCCTAGGAGGCATGGTGTCAGTTTTGTGGCTCACAGTGGAGCCATAGCAGGATTTACACACCTTTGTTGATCTTGGCCTAAGAGCCTTGTCCAAGATTGCTCAGGAAGTCTTTGACAGAGCTTACAGTTTAAGCAGGGTCTCCTGAGTCTGTTAACCTTTCCCTTCATCTTTCTCAGGTATTAAATCTATCTGGCTACGTCTATTCTGCCACTTATTTTCAGAAAGAATGGCTTCTGTGCAAGAGGGTTTTTTTTGCGCAATAAGGAGCAGTGTAGACAAAATCCCCTTCTGCAAAATGGCAGCTCATTAGGTATGCAAATGAGGCACAGCAATATTCATCCCCATGCCTAATTTGCATATCTTCTTGCACAACAATGCACAGTATATACGTAGCCTCTGTGTTTTGCTGTTCTGCATGGGATTGGAGTGCAGGAGTTTGGGGGTAGGACGGGATTGTGATCTGGGGCAGGAGATTAGGATGCCAGATCTGGGAGGCGGGTAGGGGTGTAAGAACGGGGACAGAGAGTTTGGGTATGTTGTGTGCGGGGGTGGCGGGAGCAGAGAGTTGGGGCAGGAAAGGGCAAGAGTGCCAGAAGCAGGCTGTGGCCAACAGACTTACTTGTCAGCTGCCAAACTAGCCTGCCTGCCTGCAGAGCTTAAAATGTTTCCCAGCCAGCCTGCCTGCCCACTTGCCTGGCCCTGTGCTTCATGAATAACTGAGCCCAGGAGAGGGGGGCATGATTCTTCATAGCTGCCTTTTATTCTAAGAAGCAACTCGCATTGGCTGATTTCTGCCAGAAACTGGCGAATGAGAATATGTTGGGGGTGGCTTCTAAAACTCCCCATTTCCCTCCAGTTCCAAAACAGAAATGGAGCCCTTCAGCCACATTTCTGCATGGCTGCAGGGCAAGCTGGGGAGCCTGCCTGGGGCTTCCTGCTGCCTCTGCAGGCCGGATGCTGCCCGGAGGCCATATTTTGCCCAGGCCTGATTTAAATACTTCCTCCTCCTGCAGGAAGTGATATCAAGAGGGATGGCAGAAGGATCCCTCCCCATACTACTGCCCCCTTTGAACTGAGCTTCATGGCAAACAAGTGGATTGCACTCTATGCACTGTTCTGTCCTTGCACAATAGAACCACACTATTTTTGTTGGCAAGCAAGACTGCACTCCAGAGGCAGGATTCCTTTCCCCACATATAAATGTATTACCTTAGACAGACTAGCTTATAATAGTGAAGTTGATTAACTGATAAGCAAAAGCTTATAGGTTAATGTTATAGACTACATGCATTCTCCTTCCCCTCTCTGCCCTTGCCAGTACATTTTTTAGCAGGCTGGTCAGCAGCATGGCTCAGTCCAGGCTTGCGTTGGGTCTGGGACCTACCCCCACTGTGCCTCTGCATTTAAAGTGTATTAGAAGCCAGGCGGGCAAGCAGACTGGCTCAGTTGCGACTCGCACCAGGTCTGGGAGCTCAGACCCACCCTGGACAAGGACTGCTGTCTCTGCATCAGAGGTGGTAGCAGGCAGCTGATCAGCGAGGGGACCTGGTTTTTCAACTGGCACCCATCACGGTTCAGTAGGCCAGTTTAATAAAACTGAGAATATTTAGCTCAGAAAAGAGACTATTAAAGTGGGGGATATTAGAGAAGTCTATAAAATCATAGCTGGTGGGGAGAAAGTAAATGGGGAAGTGCTACTTATTCTACTTAACATTTAACCAGGGGTCATTCATGAGGTTAATCGACTATTCAAAAGTAAGTACGGGTTCTTTTGAAAAAGGGTTTTTTTTTTTTAAAGAACCCCAGTTAGACTGCACTTTGTTTCGAAAAACCCTTTTTCGAAAAAGTGCTCAGATGCAAATATGCAAATGAAGAAAGAGATATTTAAATCTGCACTTCATTTGGACTTTCGATTTGCCTCATTTACATTCCTCTTGTGAAAGAGGAATGTAGTCTAGACATAGCCTTAGAGTTAAGAAACTAAAACATTGCTATATCAATATGGCCCACATTAAATTAATTTAAAAATGGCTAATTAATAGCTCCAGTTTTGGAAAAGATGTGGGTAAATTGGACAAAGGCCAGAGGAGACCAACACCAATTTTTACAGGTTTAGAAAAGCTGACCCATACAGGAAAAGTTACAAAAATTGGGCATGTTTAGCATTGCTTAAAGAAGTAAAGGGGGGGAATCTGATCTCAATCTTCAGATATGTTAAAGGTTGTTATAAACACTAAGGTCATCAGTGTGTTTTCCAGGGCCTCTGAATATAGGACAAGATGTAATCAATTTATTCTGCAGCCAGGGGATTTAGATTACAGGTAGTCCCAAGTTACGAACGCATCAATTTACCACCGTTCGTCCTTACGACCAACCTCCCATTAAGCGCGGCCCCAAGTTATGAACGCGATTCATGCTTACGAACTGTGCCGTCACATTGAAATGAATGGGGTCCGACTTACGAACAGATCGAGTTACGACCAAGTGCTTGGTACATAACTTGTTTGTAAATCGGGGACTATCTGCAGTTATTAAGAAAAATTTAGCTAATGATAGTTAAGCAGTGGAACAGGCTTCCATGGGAGATTGTGAAATCTCTGTCACTGGTGGTTTTTAAGCACAAGTTAAACAGCTCTCAGGGACAGTCTAGGTCAGTCGTCTCCAACCTTTTTATGCCCCAAATAACTTTTGGTGTTTAAGGGCAACCCAGGGTCTACCCTGCCCCTTCCCTGAAGCCCTGCCCTGCTCACTCTTCCCCCACCCTCATGCACTTTCATTGGGCCAGGGCAGAAGGTTGGGTTTCAGGAGGGAATGCAGGCTCTGGACAGAGGCCACGGGGTTTGCAGTGTCAGAGGGTGGTCTGGACTGAGTCCGGGGCAGGTGGTTTGGGGTAAAGGAGGGGGTGATGGGTGGAAGCTCTGGGAGGGGGGTTGGATGCAGGAGGAGGGTCTGGGCTGGGGAAGAGTGTTGAGATGCAGAAACGAGTACAAGGTGCTGGCTCTGAGTGGGGGTCAAGGCTGGGTTCAGGGATTGGAATGCAGGAAGGAGTTTGGGGTGCTAACCCTGGGAAGGGGCTCAGGCCTGGGCTTGGGGTATAGGAGGGTATGGGGTGCTGGTTATGGGAGGCATCTAGAAAATAGGGTGTAACTTCTTGTCAGGAGGCACTTACTACAAGCAGTTCCTGGTTGGCAGTGCAGCAAGACTAAGGCAGGCTCCCTTCCTGCCCCGGCCCCACACCACTCTGGGAAGAGACCAATGTACCCTGTTGCCCCTAGAGGTCATGTATGCCACTACTGCCCCCTCAGCTCCCACTGGCCATAGTTCCCTAGTCTTGGCCAGTGGGAGCTGCAGGTGCCAAACCAGGGGACAATCCCTTCAGATGTGCTCCATCACTCGGCAGAGAAAGCACCGGGCCTCCCCCACACTGTAGTATACCCAGTACTGGGCCTCTTAATGGGGCATCAGAAATTCTCCAGTATGCCATGCCAGCAGCAGTTGGATTTGGACCTGCCAACAGAAGGAGTGGACATGGTAGAGGGCAGGATCCTTGCAGCACAGAGGAAAATGACCCAGGACTGACAAGGGCCTCCCCAGGGCGGAGAGCAATGGCAGTAGGGTGGCATTGGGGAGGAAGGGAAGAAAACACCACCCATATGCCCAGGTCCTGCAGAGGCTCCTATGGAATGTGGACTCCCTCCACCACCAAACCTCTCTACCATCTCCTGGGTGGTGGCTTCAGATGCCAGAAAGAATAGAACCTCCCCAAACATCCTAGAGGCCGCCACTATGGCCACGGACCCCACCACATGTTCCAGTGTCCTCACATAGGTCTCTACGTGGGGTGAGGCCAACACCAGGAGGCAATGGACTCCATGTCCTTGGTCGGGGTGGGAAAGGGGCCATGTCTGTCAGGAATGAAATTCCAGGAGGCGGCTTGCGTGGATTGAGAGGTGGCAGGGGCGGAGGGGGGAGGTGGCAGCTAGCTGGGCATATGCCCTGGAAGCTAGAACGTCTCTTTCCCCCCCACTCCCCAAGAGCTGGTGGAGGGAACAGAGGGGCAGGAAAGAGGGGAAGCTGTGGTTGACACCAGGGCTACAGCATTGGGGGGGTTTGCCTTCCAGGTGGAGCTCTTGCTCTTCTTGGTCCCCTGGCCCTTCCTGCCCTTCAGGAGGGGCTTCTTAATGGTGACACTGGCAGAAGGTGCCACAGCATGAGCAGCGGAGGTCCCGGAGTCCCCATCCATGCCCACTGCTTCCATTGTATGAGTGGGTAGCCTGGCAGCCTCAGAGGGGACAGCATTTACAGAGGTAGATGGAAGAACAGGTGCGGGAGAGAGTGACAGGGGTATCACATGACAGCTCCTCCACTGTTGTCCTAGGTGGGGAGGGAAGGACAGGAACAGCAATTGGGGGAGGGGGAAAAGTCTCAGGGGAGGGAGCAAGGGGAAGAGGAAGGTTCAGCACTCCCTCACCCCAGGCTGGAAGCAGAGTGGAAGGGAAGCAATACAGAAAGGAGGGGGGTAGAAAGACAAGAGGTACAACTTCCAGCACAGGAAGGAAAGACCTGCTCCTTGGGCTGCACTGGAAAGATGAGGGGGTAAATTATATTAGCAACATGGGGTAAGTGAAATCCTGTGTGGCAAGGGGTAACTCAGAAAAGAAGGGGAGGCTCAGATGCCAAACAAAATAAAATAAAGGGGGGGGCATGGGCACATAGAAAGGGGGGAAAGAAGTGGAGAGGGAGGGCAGGCAGTGAGAAAGGGCCTGCTGCTGGAAGAAGGGGGGGAAGAAGAAGGGGGGGAGAAGGGCAGCTAGACACTGTTGGGGGAGGGAGGAGAGCAGGTGTGCCCATGGCGCCTGAGTAGCAGGTCCATAGCACCTGCTGCAGGACCAACCAGAGCAAATGGAGGGGGGACAACAAGCAGTGGGGCCAAGAATGGAAAAAGGCCCTTGCAGCAACTGAGGCCGGGGGAGGGAGCAGCAGCAGCAACAGCAGGGATGTGTGTGTATGTGGGAGGGAACCACCTCCAGCACTCCACATAAAAAAAACTACACCAACCACCCCAGGAACCCAGATGGAGAGAGGGCCCCTTACAAACTTCCCCCACTCCTCTACCACAGAGAAAGCTGTGGGGAGAGAGGGCCCCAGGCGTTGCCCTAAAGCAGCCCCCTTACCTCTCTGTCCCAGGGGGAGCAACAGTCCCCCAAGAAGATGGAAAAAGGAGGTTCTCCACACAGAGGCCAGGCAGCAGAGGCCCCCCCACGACATATCTATCAGCTCCTACTGATAGCTGAGGTGAGGGAGAAACTACAAAGAAAGAAGGTGGAGAGAAGAGGGGGCCTGGCCAAGGCTTGCCACAACAGGAGCCAGTCTGGAGACAGGCAAGATGGCAGAGCCCCAGCCCTGCTGACCACTCTCTTTGAGCTGCAGCTGCTCCCTGTAGCCACTCTCAGAATCTCATCCTTCTTCTCTGTGCCACTCCCTTTTGTGTCCTTCTGGTCTCTGTCCCCTCCCTTTAAAACAGTCCCGTTCCCAGCATTTCCTGTTTTCCAGGCACAACCAAACCGTGACTTTGGTTTCAGTTAGGGAAAAAGGAAGCTGCATATCAAATTTGATGGTCTTTTGGTAAACTAGTTCTTGTGGTTTAGGGGGAGTCTTGAACAAATGGATTCACAGACAGACTGATGCACTCCAAAATATAGATATGAGAGATTTGTTAACTACACTCAGCATGAAAGTCCATCTGATGTACATGCCGATAGTAATTTTATACAAGTTGACTTTTGCGCAACTGTTGAAGATAAAGGAATGGTGTTTATCTGCCTATACAATATGTTATATCTTATATTACACAACTATCCAGGAAGCCATGTTACATCTATTGGGCCTGATTTAGAAATAGTTTCTGTAGGCCCACACTCTGACAGTGTATGATTAGGAATTGAGTTGATTCTGTGGAAGCAGGCTCCTAACATAAGTGGAGGCAGGTCAAAGGGGAATACTGAGTGGGGGCAGGATAAGCATGTTTAGGCGGGAAAAGAAAAAACTGTAACATGTTTGGCTCTCAGCCAAACATGATAGCTGCTGTATCCTGCCCAGCAATAAGTTTTGGCATGTCAGGTAGTGGTTGTTTACTGCGCTGGTGTATAAAAGAGTTCACCTGGTTGTGTCCAGTAGAAATCCCCTTGTGATTTCTCCACACCGCTGTGTATTAAAGTTCGGTTCATCAGGTCTCCGGCCTCTGTCTTGACTTTCCTCCAACAGGAATTGAAAACATATGCTAGGTAATTTGATGGGGATTGGGTGGTCCTTTAATAATAGACCAGTGAAATTCTGTGTGGCAAGGGGTAACTCAGAAAAGAGGGGGAGGCTCAGGTCTGAGGTAATGAAGGCCTGGATTATTACATTTGTTTGGTTAGATGAAATAGTATGTTATTTTGAAATTTGGCACCGTGTAGATGTGCTAAATTTCAAAATCAATTTGAGATAAGATCTGCAATTTGGAGGTTAGGGAGCTGTGTAGAGACACCCCTTAGTCTTCCAGTCTCAGAGGGGGTAGCTCTGTTAGTCTGTAACTTTAAAAACAACCAATAGTCCTGTGGGACTTCAGAGACGATGTCTAGAGAAAGAGAGTAAGTAGCATGACCTTTTGCGGGCAAAACCCACTGCTTCAGATGAGGGGCTGCCACAGGACTGGGGGCTGTCAGGGCCAGGAGCCGCCAATCATGCTCAGACTCCTCTTGTCGCCCTACCAATGTCCGCTGCCCCTGACCTCTGGACGGCGTGCGCGCCGC